AAGTTAACCAACAGATTAATGCGTTTCAGTTGTCAAGGAAAGAAAGCTTTCTCTTCCTTTTTCCAACACGTAAAATTTCCTTGTTGAAAATGGAATTTCTTTATTTTAAAATTCCTATGTCTTATAAATATTTGTTAATTTTCCACTGTCTGATTCAACGTCTTCTTGCAACTCTGGATCAATACGAGCAACCTATACCTTAGAAAAAGATGCTTCAAATTTAAAAAAGACACTAAAATGATTATTCTCTTCTCTAGACTATTCAAAGCTTGTCTAAATGATTATGCTATGTAGAAACATAGTAGAGCACGTGATTTAAGATAAAATTTCAGATTAGAACTCTTAGAGCCGTAATTAATATGTTGGAAACACAAAAAACTAAGCCCAATTTATATTTGATGATATTCCAACAAATACAATGTTAGTGTTAAGAAATGTAGCTCAAAGTAACAATATAAAACAAGAAAATAAGTAGAATAAAAGATGAAGATATAACTTTCTTATTTCATCAAGTGTTCAGATGTGTACAATGTGGTGCCAAAACCCTCTATTTATAGGATTACATAGAGGCATACAAAAGAATGCCATAAACATGACATTAAACATTTGAGATCATGGAGTAAGATCATGGTGAGGTTGTGGAGGTGTGGGAGTTACAACTATAATGGTGAGAAGTAGTGGGAGTTATCTACATAATGGAGAAGAGTAGTGGGAGTAACTTCTTTAGGAGTTATAGACATCCATTACAAAATATAATATTTCATAACACTCCCCCTTGGATGTCTATAGATAATGTGCCTCATTAAAACCTTACTAAGAAAAAACCCTGTGGAAAAAAATCCTAGTGAAGGAAAAAGAGTACACATATCTTGTAATACGCATTATTTGCTGCCTCATTAAAAACCTTGCCAGAAAAATCCAGTGGGATAAAATTTTAGCTAAGGGAAAAAGAGTACAGCGCGTATTTGCCTCCCCCTGATGAAAACATCACTTTATTCTTCGGAGATGATGAATTCCAAGCTTGTATAACAACTTCTCTAATATTGAGATCCGCAATGCATGTGAAGAAGTTTGTCAAATTATCACTTGAATAAATTTGTTGAAGAACTTTGGTGAATGTCCTTTATTTTGTCTCCTTCGATGGTCCTTCTTTCAATTGAGTTACGTATGCAGTATCATCTTCAATGTAATTGGAACCTTGTTGAATATCACAATATGGCATTACCCTCATATACAAATAGATTGTTTCAAGAACGAATTTTAGAAAATGCCTGCATTTCCATAACCAACAAAACATTGACAATAATTGTTAGAGTAAACAAATCTATATCAAAGATTCCTTTCGCAATATAACACTAATCGTATTTCAATATATCCATCTAGCCTTTATACTTTCAGCTGTTGGAACTATCCGTCCAACTTTATATTTTTCAGATGAAGTCAATTTTCATTGCATATTTTTTATTTGGCCAATCATTTATCTGTCCAAATTCCATGACAGATTTGAGCTCAAGATCCTCGTCAACATTAATAGTATTGAGCGCCACATTATATCAACAACATTGTCGACGATCGTTTTACGTCGGTTCCATCATCAGTCAATAAAGATATAACTTATCGAGATCTCATTATTTTCAGGTACCTGAGCCTCTCCCATGAGGTCTTATGAAGTGTTATGTCATGGTGCTCTTATATAGCACTTGCCTCCTTATTATGACCATCTTGAACATTTGCTCCTCTCCTTCTTCAAGGAGTTTTATCTTTGGAACCGATTAGTCTTTACTCTTCATGAGTTCCATAGACTATGTCCATTATGGACTTTATTCTATTTGGAGCATTAGTAGCTGAAATATGATATTTAGTTTGGGTCAGCAAATGCGCATGGAAAATTTTGCAAATGAATTATCACTTGAACTTCAAGTTCATATTTTCTTTTCGTCGAGAATCTACATCCAGGACTGGTAGACAAGAAGCTAGCAACTCGATCTAGAGATCGAAGAATGGGAGAATGACCCCTTCCCCTTCTCCTTTCTTGTCTAGAAAGGGGAAGAGGAGCTCAAACAAGGTTCAAAGATCCCCTCCCTTGTACGAGGATCTAAGTGTACTCATAATAATTCATTCTATGTATTACTTTTTTTAGCTGCTCATTTAATTGTGGTGGCACAATTAAATCATATAATACATTCATATTTCTAGATGAAAATATTTGGTTCCTGACCCTGAACCAATTGTGATGGGGAGAATTTATCATAACTTGTTGGCTAGATGCGTACAAGTGCTGTTGTATATTAAATAATATACTTAACACAAAATTTCTATTTGGAGTTTTGTTCTCATAACCAATGGTTTAGCTATGATTGGAGGCATGCAATTTCTACTAAACCAACTTGGATTTAAACCAACATTATCATCACAATTTACATTCTGGAATTGTGCTCTAATAATTTGAGCAAGCAACCTTGCAAAAGCCAAATTGCAAGTTGATAATCAACGCACATGTGACCATACAGTAGATGCATCTATTAAAATCATATAATAGTAAACGGTCCACATGCCAGGTGACTGGGCCCATATATATATATCTTTTATTCGTTCCAGAAATCAACGAATTCAATCCCAACCTTAGCTGGTATATCATGAGAATAAGCAGCACAAGAGAATTCTTGAAGAATCTTATATTTCTTCAATATATGCCAATGTGAATTCTCATTCAATTTTCACATCATAATTGAACCGGNTATATATATATATATATATATATATATATATAGAGAGAGAGAGAGAGAGAGAGAGACACACAGACACTTCACTGTAATACTATAATGTATATATAACTTGTTATAGTATATGTTAATGTGTGTATATATATAACACACACACTTCGTGCTACTTTAACTACATATATAGCATGTTATAGTACATGATACTATATTCATTATTTGCATTGTAACAGAGTTAATGAATTACATTCATTTATCACTAGGTTATAAGTCGATGAATCAATTATAACATATTAATTGATATAAGTCGAGACGTTTTGTTTTTAATATTCAACGATGCATCTGAGTAGGTTATAAGTCGATGATTCAATTACATACATACATACATATATATATATATGTATAACACGCTTGTATTACAAAAGATATAGCATGTTAGGGTATATTTTAGTGTATTCATCCCTTGTATTACAAAAGTGTTAAGGGATTACATTTATATTATTTAGATAGTAAATACAAAAGTGATTTTTAATTTTGACCAATGTTGACCTGAAAAGAGACCAACTTTGGTCACTAATTATCCAGAAATTCAAGTTAGCGACCAAAGTTGGTCGCTAAATATCCAGAAAATTAAAGTTAGCGACCAACGTTGGTCGCTAAATTTGAATCAGATTTATTTATATTTTATATAATATTTAAAATAGTAATATAATTGTTAAACGTTAGAACTGGGTCCCATATTAGCGATCAAAGTTGGTCTCTATCTGCTTCCCCTTTAGTGAGCGACCAACGTTGGTCGCTAACTTTGAATTATATTTATTTATATTTTATAATTTTTTTTAAATAATAATATAATTATTAAAATTTTATAAGTGGATCCCACTTTAGCGACCAACGTTGGTCGTTAATTTCAGTATTTCTTTGACCAAGCAAGTCTGACCAGTCCGGTCAACATTTTGACCTAATTAGCGACCAAAAAGCGACCAACATTGGTCGCTAATGTATTTAGAGTAATTATTTAATTATTTTCTCTAGTTTAGCGAACAACGTTGGTCGCTTTTCTTGACAGACCAATTTTGGTCGCCAAATTTTGATCGTTTTTTTCCGGATTTCTAGTAGTGATTTATACTTTAGTCACGAAATTAAACTCAAGAAAAATTATTGGGGGTTTATTACTTTTTTTTATCTGCGACTAGCTAGCTATGTTATCTTAGTACGTGAATCTGAACAAAATGCAGTTTCGCAAAGTTTTACATTGGAACTTTCACCAAATTGATTTCTTGCCAAAATATTTAACTTTGTATTTCTTTTGTCATGATTATCCTGAAGAAAAGTTGAACAAGAAGTTGACGAAAAATATAAAAAGTAGTACTCGTACCCGTCACGAAAGAGAATGGTGGTGAGTCATAAAATTCAGCCCATCTGGAAATTAAAAAAACAAATGTGTGCTACTTCAGTCGAAATGCAGCTGCATAAGAGGACAAAATGAAGAGTACTTTGACATTTTAGACAACATACATTGTCACTTGTCATGCTAGAATTGATACATTTTTAGTTGTGCTCAAAAGAATGTCCTTTTTTCCTCCACCTAAGATGTTTCTCACAAGGGCGTTCAAGTTCCACTCTACTTTTTAATCACTGCTATACGAATGTCTCGAGGACTAGAAATATGAATCAGACAAATACTATTGGTTAGGGCAAAAGCTTCTCAATAGCGACTTTGATACCTAAAAAATATGAGAATATACCCTAAAGATTGCTATATTGACCTTTTTCTTATTGAAACACAATAGTCATGTCCAGGAACACACTCCTGGTACAGATTTCAGTATATTTCATTGTTATCTATAGGTCACGGGTTCGATCTATAGGTCACGGGTTCGAAATGTGGAAGCAACCATTTATGTCTTCATTAGGATAGACTACCTACATCACACCTCTTATGCTGAAATCTTTCCCCGGACCCTGCATAAATGCGAAATGCTTTGTGCACCAGGCTACACTTCATTATTACCCTTAGAGTAATCTGAAAACAACAATTTTGACATTAAGAAACAGCGGTTCTGATTAATTTGGGATCGAAACGTAGGTTAAATCATACCAATAATGTTTTTGTTTTATAGAAATAGCGGGAAATTGGGTATTGGATGTTTAGGGAAAAGAAAAGACCATTCGTGATATCATGCAATCTTCTTTTCCCTCAGAATGAAATCATGCAATATACTATAACTACTTAAATGTGGGGAGCTTTATCTGGAAGAATAAATGAAGCATAACGAGTTATTGAAGCAAATCATGAAGCATAACGAGTTATTGAAGCAAGATTTGTCCCACAACAAAAAAACGCATGCAGCCCACTTTCACATGTCCACTAAGCTACAACAGAAACCTGTCTTTCTGCTCTCAGGGATAACCCCAGCCCAAACTGGGGTTTTCAACAGACAATTCCTATGGCAATGCTTACAAAAAAATTATACAAAAAGAGGTAAAGTAAAAGACAACAAAAAATATTCCGCATTTGAGTGTCCATTTCCGTTGACAGAATATTGCGAAAAATATAATAGTCTTAGACCTAGATTAGATTTGCCCTCTTCAGAAACCTGATAGTTCTGCAGTAATAGGGCCATATAGATTCAACATAGTCCAGGTACTTCTCCACCAAGTACACCTCCAAATCCTTCGCCTTTCTTTTTGCTACTTCTTTGTAGTCCAAATTCTTTATATCTACCAACGGTTGCAGTAAGCGTGCTCTAATCTCTTCTTTGAGCTTCCCACGAGCAACGTAATCATAAGTTAATAGGGAATACGTAGGCAAGTTCCTGACCACTTTAACCGTCTGCTTAAAGCTGAATACATAGAGTGCGCATATTCCCCGGAGCATCTTAACATACAAAGCAACAATCAAAGGACCAAGAGTCCAGAGAGGGGTCAACTCTTTAGATACTTCAACTCCATATATTAGAGTAACAGCAAGATACAGGGGGACACTGCAAAGTGAGAAAACAGGCAGTGTAAACATTTTTTTTGACAAGGATCAGACAGTGAAAGCATCAAATAAACAGGGTCACCACGAAAGCAAAAAACAGCAGAACCATTGTGTACAATCAATGCCTGAACACTATAAAGACATATTTTCCAAACTTTTGGATAAATAACAACAGAAACATAATAGCAAAGCAACAAAATTGTATGCACACAGACATCAACTCCGGAATGCTGATTTTTTTTTTTTTTTTTTGGGTGAAAAGATCCACAGGAGCTCCATTCTAAACCAAAATAGCAGATCGTTTGTACATAGCAAGTAAGGAAATATAAATCATTAAAGAAACCAATACACAAATTGGTGTGAAAGAGATTTTCACTTCCACCATCAACATTCCCCATCCTATTTTACCCCCGTCCACTATTAAAAAACATCAACTGAATAAAAGAAATATTGTAGAAGATAATAAAGATTTGCCAAAAACATAGACCTAGAGAGAGAGAGAGAGGAGGGACAGAAATGGGTAGTAAAAAGATGCACAATAACGGACATTGGATTATGATACTTACAATATTAATACAGGTATCTTAATTGTTGCATCCAAACTCAGAAAGTAGCGCCAGACCGCCTTTCGAACTTGACCTCTTTCTTTCTCTAGTACCAGTTTTTGTCTTTCTGGCGTTTCTGTGGTATATGGCTCTTCCACAGTTTCATCCGTAACTTGGTTTGGTGAAGGTGTACGCAACAATGTTAACCAGCTTCTAAATATATTTTGAATGGCAAAATTACTTGTAGTCTCGTCCGCTTCCGCAGAGTAAGAAATGGGAACGTTCTGTGCCCTTGGAGATTCTACAGAGGCTTCTTCACTCTCTTGTGGCACATAAGAAAGTTTTACTGAATTCTTCAGAGATTTTGACCCACCAACTCTGCCTCCAGACTCATTTTGGCTGTTGCTCTTGAAAGCTGAGATCTTCAAGGATTTTCCATTTGGTTTAAGGACAAAAGGAGCCCCTATTCTGGAATCAAATAATTTGCTCAATCTCATATACATCACCATGCATGGAAATGGGCATAGCAAAATCTAGAATAACTAATATAAACTGATTAAACAGTCCTATGTGGGAAATATTTTTTTTTTTTTTTTTTGATAAGGTCTCAGACTGAGAACTTCTAATATGGGCAATAGGGCAGCATATTTCAGGGAAATTAAACACTCGTTGGTACCATTCAATAGAAATGGCAGTTTTTGTTCGTCATTGTTTTTTATTTTTATTTTCTTTGTTTTTTTATAGGAGGTTGTTTTTTGGCAGCTAAAACCTACACACCGAGAAATGGCCAGAAGGTGCTAATCCATCTATTACTAGGCTAAATGCAGATTTTCTGGATAAATAATATAAAAAAATAAAACCGCATCGAATGCCTCCCATTGCTTAATGAAATGAGATTTTTTCTAACCAGTATTACAATGTGGCTATTAGACAGTCCATTGGTTTTGTTTAATCCTTATAATGGCTTGGCAACTCCTAGTTCATCAAGCAAACGGAAGACCTAATGCTAGCATGTAAACCTCAATGCAGAGATTTTAAGGGATTTAAGCCACCATGTATATTGTTTATCGATTGGGATAATTGGTACCATTGACATGCAAGTGCAGATGGCAAACAAACATCTGGTACGTCAGAACAGCGCTAATATGGCTCTTCCTCAAAAAGATAACTTAATAAACTTGATATTATACCCCTCAATCTCATATTAGGGCCCCCCTCTTGATTGGTGCAAAGATTAAAGGAAGATGAAAAGATTGCTCTTCCAGAATTTTTACAACAACAACAACATACCCAGTAATATCCCACACCGTGGGGTCTGGGGAAGGTAGTGTGTATGCAGACCTTACCCCTACCTTGTGAGGATACAGAAGATGTTTCCAATAGACCCTCGCCTTAGGAAAGCATAAGCACCACATTAATGAAAATATAGACAAGGGACAGTACCAAAAAGCCATATAAAAGCAGAATAAAAACAAGACAGTAAGGTGAACAACAATGAAAGAAAACAACGGTTAGTCATAAAAACCTACTACTAACAGAAAGCGAGACTGCGTGCCAATACTACTGTTATGAACACTCTAGAGTCTAGACTACCTACTCTACTACCCTAATCTTCGACCTCCATACCTTCCTATCAAGGGTCATGCCCTCAGTCAGCTGAAGTTGCACCATGTCTTGCCTAATTACCTCTTCCCACCTCTTCTTTGGCCTACTCTACCTCTCCGTAGGCCCTCCAATGTCAACCTCTCACACCTCCTCACTGGTGCGTCTGTGCTCCTCCTCCTCACATGACCAAACCACCTAAGCCGCGCTTCTCGCATCTTGTCCTCAATAGGGGCCACACCCACCTTGTCGCGAATAACATCATTTCTTATCTTATCTAACCTGGTGTGCCCGCACATCCATCTCAACATCCTCATCTCTGCTACTTCATCTTCTGGACGTGAGCGATCTTGACTGGCCAATACTCAGCCCCATACAACATCGGTGGTCTGACCAGAGTTTGTTAGGATAATATTGTTATATATTAATGCATATATGTAGAAGGGAAAAAGAAATTGTCAATAAAGCTGAAAAGAACATACACATATTCATAGGTAAATGATAAGGATAAAACTAATCAAAAGCTCCGTTAAGAAGCTCTCTTTTCCATAGGAATGAATTGAGGAAGCTATGATACAGTACATTAGAGAAGGGGCCACCTAAATTGAGACAAAGGTAAGTAATCATAAGTGACTACCATATTCTGCTAGTCTTCTTTTTTGAGTGGGGGTGGGGGTAAGTCCTCTAGTCTTTTGTTTCCAAGTGAATTTTACTGTTGAATGACAATTGCCAGCAAATTCAAGACAGGTTGTGAAACAATAAAGACCTTTTTCCCGACTTGACAATCCAAAACTGCATCACTTCTCAAACCCTTTGGGCTCAATGACATAGAAAGAATTATCTTACTGTCTCTAGGTGCAACAAAAAAAAATACCATGCACATTACCCCAGATACTACCAAATACAGCACAGACCCATCAATCTCTCACATAATTTATTGATCAATATACTTGTGGCACTTCACATTTGATAAAAGTATATCATTTAATATTTACTTCAAGTTAAAAAGGACTCAGCTTGTGAACCTCTTCATTATAAAAAGCTGAATAGAAGGATTGCAAAAGTTAAGACCATAAACGCAAACATAAATTGGGCATCAAGAAAAAAGGTAAAGAGGATACAATATTCTACCTCAAACAGGATTTGCACTTCAGTGAGATGAAATTATCTTTCTGGGTAACAGTGTGAATCTTTGTTACAGAACTTCTCAATTTGTTTCCAGTGGTCCAGGAAGAAGAACTCAAGGGGCATGTTCTATAAGAACCCTGCAAGAAAAAACATGTCTACTTAATACAATTGAGGAACTTGCAGGCTTCAATGGAGAGGCTTTTCTGCAAATAGAAAAGACAGTATGATGGTATTTCTTCTGTTAGCCACTAATTTCTGTATGGAGGGCTTTTGGGAAGGAATGCTTGACAACGAGCCTAGGTTTATGTTGCTGCTTCTCGAACTAAAATAATTCCAGATGCAATTGCACAAAATCTTCATAATGTCCATCTCAATAACTCAAAGCCTAGCAGATACATAGTCTGCTTTACCCTGATATCGTCCAATTGCCTTTTTCAAAATGACTCTAAATGGTTCCTCTTTTGTAAAGGTAGGCTTTCTTTTCTTTTTCTTTTTTTTTACTTTTTGGTTATTAAAGTAGGCTTTCTTTACTCTTCACCTTAGCAAATATGTTAAGATTTTTCACAATCATTAGAAGATGAAATTTAAACTTGGAAAATGGCATCAAAATGATTATATGACCCAATTTTTTTATACAAGGTACATTGTCAACACGGACAGGGAATTTGATGTAGATAGAGTATTACAGTAAGTTGAGAAAAAGAAAGTCAGACAAAAAGTGGTACCATGTTTATGCACTCACTAACAGACTATAAATCTCGTTACTTAAACGAATGCTAAAATAAAAAGAACATGATTAAAGCAGAGTGCAGCAGCTAATCACCAAGGCAGAGCATTAACAGTAAACAAACAAGTGCTTCATTTGCAGGAAGCATTGAGTTATCTCCTGTGTGATATCAGGGGCGGATCTACCCTAGCCCAAGAGGTGTCACGTGACACCGCTTCGTCGAAAATCTTTACTAATTATTTATATATAATTCAAATGAAGAAAAAACAAAAAATATAAAATGGAGTAAAGTGACACCCCTTGTAATAAAGAAGCGTCTAGCATATCTGGTCAAAGTATGAAGATTTCTATGCAAGGTCGTGAGTTCGAGCCTACGTACCCCATTCTACATTTTAATAATTTTGTACCTCATCAAAAACATATACTACGTGACTAGCACAACACATTTTTTAAATTGGAGGGATGCTGCATTGTAAGTTGTGTGATACTTTTTTTTTCCTGGTTATTTTTTTTAAATAATATTATTACAGTAATTTTTTTTATTTGCTCGGTCTAAAATGGTGACACCGCTTACTAAAACTCCTGCGTACGCCACTGTGTGATATGCAATTAAATTGCAAGGTTTTTAAACTATAACCAGATCAAACTCACAATGCGCTTATAATTCAAATACTCACATTCCGAACTAGATCAAACACAACCCTAATTCATAAGTTTCTTAATCTAACTAGCAACAATTTGTACAGAGTAGGGGCAATTCATAGAAACTTTCTCCACTATTATAGGGAAAATTGCACATCACATAAAAATGATATGGACTTCAAGTCCACTAAATCAAATAGAGATTTCCAAGTTTAGCTAAGCAAGCCGAGAAACAACATATATTTGGAAATGGGGATGGATCGTTGTTGATTTACCTGCAAATGATGGGTCGCCAATGCCATTATCTCCACTTTGCACGTGCAATCATCTAGCAAGCGAGGTCATTACTTCTCCAAGAGCTACAATAACACCACAGTATAGGAACACATCACAACACAAAGATATATGTCTCAATGGCTAGCAGAACAGGAAACCAAAAAGATCAAAATTCAACCCAAAGTTAACATATTATCTCAGAGGCAAGATAATCAAAGATATAACCTTTTTAGAAAAATTACAAAAGGAAAGCGAAATGAATAAGACAGGCGATTATAAAAGCAGGAAGGTTTTCCATACACTAAATTATAGCTTAAATGTCTTGCAAGCATTGAAAATAAGAGACACCTTTTCCCCTTCCCCCAAAACATATTTGAAGAGGTTCGAATTCACTCCCTAAAAGGGGAATAAAGCGGTTTCGTGGATTCCTCTAGCTCAACGAAAATTCCAAACTTAAACCTCTTTAAAAGACAAGGAATTTGTAGAAAAAATTGGAGGTCTACACCACAAGTTCGCTTCATACCTAATTTCACAGCTCAATAAACAAAATTTACACAATTTGTGGCAGTAAGAAAGAAGCAGAAGAATGCTTACAGGGCAAGATACAGGTGAGGTGCAAATACGTGTAACCTATAAAGGGGTGATGAATTGCTTTACAAGAAGGAAGAGTTTTATCTGTTTCTTAAGATAAAGAAGCAATTTTTAGAGAGGGAGAGAGATAAAAGTAGAGATTTCGGATAGGAGAATTGAATATAGGGGAGAAAGGGTCAGATTGGTGAAATTAGGGTTCTTCCAGGGACCTTTTCGATTTTTCAGTCTTCAGTTTTAGATGTTTTCGTTTTCTTTTTACCTTTTTTTTTTAGTAAAAATAGCACGGGCTAGCCAATTTTCGGACTGGTCATTCAAAAATAGCCAGCGTTTGCAAAGTCATTGAAAGATAGCAACTATTTTGCTGCAACAGGGACTGATCCAGCATAATATACTGGAGATTGGTGCACCTGTGTATGAACTTCCAGCATATTATGCTGGAACTCCAATACCTCCAACACGCGGAAAGTTGCAGCATAATATACTGGAGATTGGAGCACCTGTGTATGAACTTCCAGCATATTATGCTGGACCGGTATATTATACTGGAACTCCAGTATATTATGTTGGAGTTCCAGTATATTATGCTGGACTATTTTTTGGATTTTGAACAGTGTTTTCGTTCAGATTTATCTTTACATGAAAGTGGCTAAATTTCGATTACTTTTGAAACTATGGCTATTTTTGAATGACCACTTGTAAATCTAGCTATTTTTTAATTTCTCCGCTTTTTTTCCTGCTTGAACTCGGTCCTTTTGTTTAAAATTTAAACACTTATCACGTTTTAAGCCAGTATAATGTTCACTTAATAAATACGATTTGGTGGGATGTATTAGAAAAATAATATATTTATTTACCTTGATATTATTAATTCCTTGTTGGTAGTATTTCTTATACATAACAAATAATGCATTAGGATTGTCATAGTTTTTAATACATAAATAAGCATGTGTAAAGACAAAAATGTCCTTTCAAAATATTCTTCCAATCCTTTCCAATGCAGAAAGATATTTTTGTAATCAAATAATTTTTAAAAAAAATTGCAATGCATATTATTTTTAATGCACCAAACCAAACAGCGAATAGAAAACAATCTCAGTACAACTAATTCAAGCATTACTAATATAACATATTTAGTACTATTCTTATACACCCTACCAAACGACCCCTAAATATAATAAAGTTTTACCACCCTCAAAACATGCGGGAGAGACGGATCAGAATTATAAGAAACGCTTGAAAGTTCATTGCGGAAGTTTTGTTTGAGAATTATAAAAGCTTTACGTATCTAAATGACAGCGTTCAAATAGCTGCTTGAATTCATAACATGTTGAACTGCTAAAAAATGGAACTATCTCGCGTGGAATCTGATTGGCATGTCTGACTAGATAATCTAGCCTGCTGCAACTTGTAATTGAACAAGTTCACTTTAGTCTTTCTACAATCAGGTTAGTTGCTTTAAACGTTAAAAAAGTAACAGCTCTTTGAGAAGGGACTAAAACTGGACCAATTTGATAAGACTATCAGGACTATTAGTGCATCATGTCAAATAGGATGATTTTGAGACAAAGCTCAAAGATAGGGGAAAAATTTGGGACTTTTCTCAACAAAATAACATAGCGGAGCAGGCAAAACTAGCTTCACTTTGCCCATCATTCTTGCTTCTCGACCAAGAGAAAAAGCTACACATCTAAATTGTGATGGTACAAAACTACAAACGTAATAGCAACATACAAATGCTTCATACGAATTGACATTCTTCTGGGGAGAAAATGGGAAACTATTTTAATGTTCTTCAAATTAATTACAGTTCTCATAATGCCGCACTTACTGTTGCACCAAACACTATTTTTCCCAAAACCATGTGGCAAAAACCAGGCTGTAGTCCAGCTCACCCGTGTGACATTGGCCAACAAATTCTCTTTTACCACGTCAAAAAGCTACCACCTAAGACTGCACCACCAGACATCTTGCAAACTAAGCAAAGATTATCCGGCAAGTTGCTATCCATCACAAACTAAAAAGACCTAAATCCACATTTTAGCCTCCCCGTCAATCAATCATAATTGGCATTTATTCGGCCAGAGCCACCTTGCCTACCATGGAAATTCCCACCTCCACGCTTTGACTGACCCTGACCCCTCTCTCTGTATCTCTGACCAACATTGTAAGAACCATCAGCTGGCCCTTCAAAATTACTTGATTTGCTATCACTGTATTGCCCAACTGGCTGGTACTCATAATGCATGTTGTTCCTCCGCCTTTCTCGACCACTGGAGGTGCTGCGCTGCCGATTATCTCTCCCCGAGAACATATCTCCACAAGATTCCTGCATTCTGGCAGGACGATTGTTTTGGTTTACATTCCTTCTTAAACCTGAGTTGCTCCGCTCTTGCATAGCTTCAGCACTTTCAGCAGGAGGTAATTCAGCTTTGACAACCGGACCTTGGTTTGGGGAGTAGGGGCGTCCCCTAAATGAAGATGGCTTTCTCTCTCTTCTTGGATCGAGATTTCCAACGTTAGGTACCTCTGAAACAATTTTATCTTCAGATGCTAATTGATCTGATTGACCCACACCTTTATCACTGCTCCCCTTCACACTGCGTAGGGGAACATTAACTTTATCCTGATGATAATCCCTCTTATCAGCTCGACCGCCTTCCATAGTAACATTTTGGGCTCTGGTAGACACACCTACCTGTTGATTATTAACTGCAACCATGTGGGACTTTGGTTGCCAATGTGGTGGAGCACGATTAGCCATGCCAAGATTTTCCTTTGCTGCAGCGCTTCTGTCCATCTGGTTTATGTCAGAAGCTCCTGACAGAGTGTGATTTTGCTGAGTTTCCCCACTGCTGTTTTTGTATTGATGTCCAGAATTTCCTGTGCTTCTATGGCCCTTAGAAGGATAGCGTTTTCCTTTACCTGTCGTTCCCTCATCTTTTACAACAGGAATGGTGGTACGTGGACCTTCAAAATCACCTGGCATGTTCCAACCATCTGATACATCGAACTTACTCGAACACTTCGAATCAGATTTCGCAGAATCTCCATCAGGCTTCATAGATGGAGTGTGATCCAGAGTCTTATAAGTGTTCTTGCTGGTGTGATCCAGAGAATAAGTGTTCTTGCTGGTGTCCAATGCCAAGTCTGCTGAACCCCTTTGCCTCCACACTCCATGTGCTTTCCCTTGCCTATTATTATTGTGCTTGCTGTCACCAATCCTGGACTCTATGGAAAAGCTCTCAATTACAGAGCTAGTAGGTAGGTTTTCAGGCGTAGAGTCTGCCCTTCCAGTTGTCTCATCTGGACCAGGAGAACTGCCTGACGACAACAGTGGCGGTTGACTACTAGCATGCTGTGCAAGCTCTTTGGCGACAGGTTTTGGAACATATCTCTCCATTTCAGCCCTCTTGCTTTTTGAATTACTCTGCACCACATTATCACTCTTCAGAGGACCAACGGAATCTGATGCAGTTTTCAGACTTGCTTCAGCAGCATCTTCAGTTTTGCTCTGAGACCGCACAGGTGCCCACACAACCGTATCACCTCCATGAAACTTATCAGTATGCACATTAGGGTGCTGATTTCTCTGCGGCCTGCGAGGGTGCTGAGGTTTCCATTGGTTAATTACTCGACTATGACCTTCTTCCATAGGCAAAGGAGAACTCTGATCAGAAGGCTGCACAACACTATCACCACTTGCTGCCTGAACTGTGCTCACATCTAGAACCAGCTGAGATGAATTCAACTTCTCCTGTTGCATACGGACTTTAGCAGGATTACTATCATTTTGCACTGGTAATGGAGTAGCTGGGCTAGGCAGCACAGTATCAAGCTTCTGCTTGTTCTTGTTGGTCCTATTACCTTTCCTTCTCTGCTGCGCAGAAGACTCGACGGCAACCTTGGCATTATTAACCATGTTTGATTCAGCACTTAAGCCAACTTCATGAGCCTCAGTTGATGGAACATCATTAATATTTACATCATTATGACCCTTGGATACCTCAGCAACGCTAACCAGAACTGATTTTTCATTCATATTCTTCGGTGTCATATTTGGCCTTTGCTTGTGGCTAGTACGCTTATGCTTGACAACACCCCCATCACTTGACTGCCAAGCAACTTTTCCATGAGTGGTAGCAACCCTATTGGCATCCTGCTTAGATAACAAAGCTTGGGGTTGTGGGATGGCTATTTCTGACTGGACCATAATAGAAGTGCCGAATTCTAGCATAATAGGTGGATTAGTATGCTCACTGCCTTTGTCTAGAATGCGGTTGCTAGTATCAATTACATCACACTGTGCTGCTAAAGCTGCATTGCGGGCTTGAGGTCTGACACTAGGCACCACTGGTTCAGGGGGTGAGGAGCCTTCCAGATCTTGCTTCATAACATCAGGGGACGAATCCTTTATAGCCTTCTGAGACAAAGCATCACCTGCCTGCATACGGCGATTCAATTCCTCCAATTTAGCAAGAGCTTTGGCTTTCTGTTGTTTACTTCGTTCTTCCTCTTCTTTCTGTAGCTGTAAGGCACGCTGCCTGGCTAACTCTTTCATCTTTGCACGCTAATGAAAGCAAGTAGCATACATTAGATTAGATAAAGGGAATAAACAAGTAACTGCCGGAACATGCGTAAGTTAAGAGTAAAAGGTAAACATACTACCTGCGCTTGGTTATCTGCTGAATCATGCAATTCTGACAAGGATTCTTTTTCACCACTCACAATTATATCAGTTAAAGCTTGCTCAGTAGCCTCAACTTGAGGACCTGGCTCACATGCATGAACATTAGAAGCAGGTTCTAAGCATGTTGCAGAAGCCACAACAGATGATTCAGCAGCAATGGGCCTTTTTCTCCAACCATCATCATGGCTATCAGATCGGGCTTTACCAAGATTATCATTTTTGGTTTGCACAACGCGATTTGGCCGCCTGTGAGAAAAATGTTTTTAGTAAAGGGAACAGCATGAAATATCACACACAGTATAAACAACCATGACCATATCTGAGAGATATCACACACAGTATAAAAAACCACCTTGACATGGTAGCTGTTAACTGGCCTCCCTTGTTCCCAGTGGTTCCAGTATGAGTTCTTTCGAATGACACAAGAGCACCTTTAACTTCATTTATTGAATTGGTAACCTTAGGATTTAGTTCTGACTTATTGATATCCTCTTCAGAAGAAACATAAGGCCCTTCATAACGTCCATCAGATGCTCGGACTTTTGCATTTAAACCTTCAATCTTCTGCATCAAGGATGAGTCTCTGGCAGTCACTGCAGGAGTTGAACCCCTTTCAGGAGCTGAGGAAGACGGAGGCACTCCACCAGAGGATTCCACATAACCTGGTTTCTTTGTCCAACTGCCATCAGCAACCTTCATAGTATTTATACCTTCAAATGAGTTCGCTTTGGTGTTATCTGAAGAATCACATCCTCGATCATCATAACTACGCGGATAACAGTTCCCACTCCCTGTAGTTCTCCTTGAATACAATTCCTTCTCCCTGTCATGTTCACCTCCTCGCTCATGCTTCTGCAATGATCTCTGAAAGCTTCTATCAGGATATGGGCCATTAGTGGGCACAGAATGTTCCCATGTCTCTCCTTCCTCTCTTGCATCATGCTTTAAAAGAACTTTATATGGTCCTTTAGCATCATCAGGATGAGCAGACTCTACTCCCTCTGGCAATGCTTTGGCATTAGCACCATGGCTGCCAATTCTGGCATGAGTATTAGTTGGATCAGGAGTGTTTGGGCCTGAATATCTATTATAAACTGGGGGACCAGGAGGCATGCCCATGAGAGGAATTTCCCGCTCATTGGAATTGCTATAACCCATTGGCGGTCCATAATAGCCCTCAAAGGCCACTGGACCAGAGTAAAAACCAGGTCTAAATGGCATATTTGGACGAATATAAGCATCGGTAATCTGGGGTCTATACATATCTCCACCTCTGGGATGGTGCCCTCTGGATCCAGGCCCCGGAGGAGGAACTGGCTGTGTATTTGCAATAGCAGGAGGTGGAATCGGGGGTCGAAAGTAGGGGAATGGTTCAATTGGAAAACCACCGGGAGGAACTGGAGCTCCATAAGGTGGCCCCCCAGGTGGTCCTCTATACCAGAATCCAGCAGGGGCATTCATAGGAGGCCCATGCCATGCATCAAAATGATGGGGTGGAACATTAGGACCAAGATAGTGATGGGGATCCCCTTGCCATTTCTCCATGCCATGTTGAGGACCATCCTCAGCACTTTGACCATCTCTTTTCCAAGCGTCAAATGTCTCACCCCTCACATCTGCACTTGTATAATTACCTTACCATCATCAGAAAGCATATTCCATGACTACTCTGTTGCAACTAAGTACAAAAAGGAATCACTTGATATAGCTTCAAACGAGATATGCAAACCTGAATGAGATGCAGTTGTCTTCTCTAGGGGCTGTGCTACTTTGCCAGAAGCAGAGTTAGGACGGCTACAAGAATCACGATCTATCAAAAGAACATGACCAAGCGCCCAGTTAAGAGTGCAATACCAACAGAATAATCAGCAAAGTTTCATTCCAGCAACAGCAACAGAATATACAGTTTTCATATTTTCCTTCTTTTCTTTTTTCTTTTTTCTTTTTTCGGGTTTAGGGGGAGAGAATTATTGGGATCGAGGCGTTGTTGTTGTAAGGAGTGAGGGGATTGAACAAATGAAAGAATTAATAACGTTCAACTACAATTTTAGCATCCCTAGAAAGTAAATTTTGAAGATTTAAGCCAAACATGTCCCTTTGTTAAATCTTAGTAATTGCCAGCAAAATCACAAGTTCTAGCCTCCAAGCACACGAACAAGCAGTGAAACGAGTAAAGATGAAATGAAAAAAGCTATTGTGGATGGGCAATTCATTTAAAGAAAAGAATTAATAATGTTCAACTACAATTTTAGCATCCCTAGAAAGTAAATTATGAATATTTAAGTCAAACATGTCCCATTCTTAAACCTTAATAATTGCCAGCAAAATCACAAGTTCTAGCCTCCAAGTACACGAACAGGCAGTGAAACGAGTAAAGATGAAATGACAAAAGCTACTGCGAGAACCACGAAATGATTCCACAAAGCATTGTATAATATGGAGTGAGCAGATAGTATTTACACCATTGAGGTGAACAAAAACTAATGCAATTAACCAATAAAAGACATTATGTAGGAGATTTTAAAGGACCAGCAGTCACCTTGTGACTCAGTAGTCTTCCCAGATACATCTTTATCCGATCCAAGAGTAGGAAAATCCCCAGAACTCAGAGAAAATCCTCCATTCTTAGAAGACAGCACTCCCTGTAAGTACAAGTATGCTCAAAACCCAGCACAGTGACATAAACTTATCTCTCTCTCACTCTATACATATATATATATATATATAGGAAAAGAGATGAATTTCATTCCAATCAAGATAAGCCCCCTCGCTAAGAAATAGACCTTGAGCCACTTTTCAAACATTCAAAAATTAGTAGATTACAACAATAATTCTCATTTTTCAAAGAGATACCTTATTTTACAACATTTAGCTTCTAACAATCGCATTGTACAGAACAGCAGAATACAGAGGAATAAATTGACAAGAAATGAGAAGAGAACATCCACATATCTGTACACAATTATAGAACGAGCTCTTCTTAAAATACTACTCTTACACAAGTATGGTGATTTTCTTGTAGAACATCCCACTTGTTCACTTCAACTGATTAACTCCTTTAACTAATAGATTGCAGATATAAAATGAAAAAATCAAGTGTGAAAAAGGAGTTAAGCTCACTGTCTCGCTCCTCTTGCTCTCACTCTGTCACCCTAAAAACAAAATAAACTACAGGGAAAGGACAATAGGAACAAAAGATATTTGGCAAAATAACACCTAAGAGATATTCATCACAAGGGAACATTACCAAACGCTCTGCGGTAGCTGTTGCTCCCCATGCTACTGGATGTTCAGAAACAGGCTCAGCAAAACGTGAAAGTTGCGAGTTGCCAGGCCTTGTCTCTGCACTGTGTGGACGCGCCAACGTTGATGGTGCTTTGTTTGATGATAATGGCCCAGAAGCTGATGAAGGCCTAGAATTGGTACCCCATGCACTGGTAATAGGTTCTTGTGTTCTATCACTACCAGCAGTTGAAGGTCGAGTGCCACTCCCACCAGATGAAGGGCGGGATCTAAGATGACTTGGTGAGCTCGTTCCACCATCAGCATTTGGAGAGAGCGTTGAGCAACCCCACGGGTTTGACGTAGAGGAAGACGTACGGCTACCCCAGCTCAATGTACCCCTATGTCAAAGTAGGAGAGGGCCTAGATCAAGTCAACAAAGAAACAATGCCAAAGGAAATACCAGACAGCTCTCCAAAAGGCAGGCAAACCCAAATAAGTATCGCACACAAGTGCCAATGCCTTGGGCAAGGCAGACACAAATATAAGAAGGGGCTAAAAGAAAAAAGAGTACAGGTACTCACTTGGGAACAATTTCAACATTTGGGTCCAAACCGTGATTCTCTAACCTTCAAAAGATTTAAGTACATACAACTTCAGAAACATATGCTTAGATCAGATGAGGAAAAATATAGATCAGCCAATGTCTCATACCGCTGACTGGGCAAGTTCAATGGTTTTGGGACAGCCACTTTTCCAAGAACAGTCATGCCACCTCTTCTTGTAGAAGCCCACCTATAATGATGGAATTACAGGATGACTTAAGGAAATGATACAATCACACCAGTAAGACAGTGTCATCATACTGACTCAATGTATGTACGCGATCTAATATTAGCATTAACCAACTTAATAACACCATAATAGAGAGCAATATTAAGAAATGCCAAAAGGTTAATTTGTCATAGAAATCAGAACAGAAGTTTTTGAACTCTCATCCTCAACCCCAACAAAAGGTCTCTCCAATATATTCCTAACTCGAATGCCACACCGCTGAAGCATCACTCTTTGAGCAATCTATACAACAATTAAATGTTGCATTGGAGCTCATTGTTAGTTCTCACTTGATCCTACTCCACCAAGGCATCATAGTTTGCCCAAAAAATGTGTAGTGTTTGGACAACTTTAGCAGAAAGTAACTTATCAAATAAAAGAACTTCAGCAGAAAGTACATTGAATTTATTTTTTTGGGGAGAAAAAAGCTTGTGCAAAAGAATCTATGTAAAAGAGAATTATGCCTTTTGGAATGCGAAACTTAATAGGTAAATTCCGGCCACAAAAAAAAAAGAGAATATGAGACATTCCTCGAGTTGGTTGGTCTACACACTTTTACTCTGTCCTTGCATATTTAATACTTTATCAACAGAGCAATGTTATCAGTCCGCAACATTAAGCACATATGGAATATTTAACTTAACATCTGAAATTTTCCTTCACAATTCTGGCCTTTCAGTGACGTCTTTCCGATACAAAAACCACTCTAGACAATTGAACTACTCTATCCATACCATTTTATTTGACAAGGCATGAAGTTTAATATGCCAATTTGACATATATTAAATTAGTGATTGTTTAAGAGAATCTTAAAGTAATCGTTGATAAGTTATATGACAGTGAAAACATTATATCAAACTCAAGATTTTAATAATTTTAATGAATCGAAATTTGTGAAAGTTGTATAAAAATGGGATGATCTTAGGCATTTTGGAACGTTACAGAATGAAAAGAGTGTCATATAAAGGAATACTCTCTCCGTTTCAAAAAGAATGAACCTATGTTTTTTTTAGTCAGTTTAAAAAAGAATGAACTCTTTCAAAATTTAGAAACAATTTAACTTTAAAATCTATGGATTATTTTAGACCACAAGTTTCAAAAGTCTTCTCTTTTTTCTTAAACTCCGTGCCAGCCAAATAGGTTCAATCAAATTGGAACGGAGGGAGTATTATTTAACGATTTTCAGTCTAATTTTGTCCATAACCTGCATAACAGGAGAAGAGGACCAGAGAGAATAAGATAGTAGATGTACGATTTTGGCCTCATAATGTTTTTTTTTTCAAAACAAAGAAATAGGGGGAGGCATGTACTTAACAAGAACAGAAAACAAAGTTCATATAAAGCAATATAAGGGGCATTTGTGAAAAATAAACAAGAAAGAGGGTGTTTACATAAAAGAATCTTTTTTTACCTTTTCTCCCCTGCCAACATACTTGAAGTCATTATCCAAATATCGATACACGGTCATCCAAAAAGCTTCACAAAGAGCCTAATTCAGCAAGAATCTGGAACAGACTTGGGAGAGCACCTTTTCCATTAATAACAAGTCATCAAATTAAGAGAACCAATACCAAAACATTTTCATAATGGAACATTACACTAGAACCATCAAACACCAACAGCAAAAAGAAACTACTTCATGAAAAAAAAGTTCAGATATAATTAAGACTCAGCCGATGCTCAGATCAATTAGATTTTGAAATGTGGGGAACAAAAAGCATATATAGACAGTTTCACTTAACAATTTCTATATATGTATATCACCGGAGAGTAACTTCATTAACCATAGAGTGATGTCCCACGTACAAGGGTGGTTACAACATGTAACAAAAATAGAACATAAGTAAATACCGCAATGACAGGTGATGCATCGTGATCTCATGTAGAAGGGTGGTTACAACAAGTAACAAAAATGGAACATAAATAAATACCGCAATGACAGATGATGCATCGTGATTTGTGTGTACAGACAACCTAAGTGAGATACTCCTATATGCTATCATCAACTTTTCTTCTTTTTAAGTACAATACTACAATATGGGCTAGTTACCAATATAATTTAAAACATCTCATTACAAAGTTTTCAATTTCCTAGGACCAACATTGGCATCATAACATCCATTCATTCCCCGAAACATACTGAAATTGTCTCAAACCGTTCCCCCTCCCTGCACAAAAGCACCCTATTACGCTACTCCTAAAATCATAATTTTTTTATGAAGTATGAGATATTATAAAAAGCATCAAGAAGATGCAAAAGAGCACGGTCCGGGTGCTAATACAAAAGAAGATATGTTAGCTCTGTACAGATGGTCCTCTGCTAGGGCTAAGGAGCTAACAAAATCCAAGAATAATTCGGGGGAGCTAATAGGGGAGATGTTACTCCAGCTATACAACAAAACTGTACAATTAGCCTTCAAGAAGTAATTTGGAGTTGCTAAACCATCAAAACATCTTCATTCATTCTAAAAAGACTAAAATAATCAGCTGTGCTCTTCCTTCTTGGTAATCAATGATTCCTTAACACTGACAAGTCAACCCAGTGGCCACACTGGCCAATAGTCAAGAAGCTTGGAAAATTGATACCTCGCATATTATGTTACCTTCTCAAAAACAAAAAGGAAGATACCTCGTACCAACAGATGGCTAAATGAAAAGTCTTACTAACCCAGAGGCCCCAAATATCATTAACCTCAATAGTTATTGTTTAAAGTTACGAAGTTGAGAAAGTTAACATCTGTGTAATCGACAATAAATTCTTCAAAATATTCACAGGTATTAGCATATTTCCAAGAAATTAGGTCTCTAGTAAACTAGAAGATGGAAAAAGGTGACCAAAAGTAAAGCTTTTTAAGCATAACCCATCAGTGTCAACCCAGTGGAGCACACCTTAAAATTATTTTAGTATCTTCCACCAAAACTCAATGGCTATTATTTTATTAGTAAAGTGAGTGAATAGTTCAGTTATAAAAACCAGGTAATGGTTCTTTTCTTGATCAGGAAAAAACCAAAATCATAAAAACCAGGTAATACTTTTGGTCCCTAACCAAGGCTCAAACACATATTTACCTCTGTTTCCACAACTAACTTCAACATCTTACAGAAAAATATGGCAAAGAAACAACACGGGAGGATATAAGAAATCGATCACTTTTTTTTATCTCTACTCAATTTTGCTATAGAAGTTTTCAAAACATTATCTTTTTCAGCAATTTATTTATGTGACAGTCACATGCACTTGAATGGGTAAAGCATGCCTTAATGTCTCACCACCTCTGGCTACATAATTCATGCTCTCTTCTTTTAGAATGAGAATGGATGCATAATACATACTCTTCCCAATCTTAACTATGCGCATAAAACCTTAGGGAAAATATTTAATGACAGGCTGATTTCTTTAATTCTGCATATGAATTCCTTAGTACCATCAAGATTCAAGCATCAAGTAAAGGTGGCTGAACTTCTCTCAGCTAAATGATTAACTTCACTACTAACCAGCTTAATACATGAAAGAGTTTTTTTTTAGTTCACTGCCTTCAGGTTTCAAAAGTGGCGTCAAAATCAAAACTCCGAGCAAGTGAATTGTACAAAATAATTAACATCACATTTAGAAAGTTTGAGGTATATAATACAGCTTTAACTTGAGGTACTCTGAACATATATGTGAAGAACTGCATAGAACAAAAAGAAAAAACAGAAACTCTGAAGCATGTGAAAACTTTAACTAGATTAACCATTAAACTCAACTCTATCTTGAGCTGGATTTCTTTTCCCCATAACAAGCAAAAGAACAAAAAAGGAGAATCCTTGCTAGTGAGAACATTGTCCAGGCTACAGACTGCAATCTCCACATAAGCCTATGGTTTTGCATAGGAAACATAAAGCCTTGCACTTTATACTAACAACTATGAAGGAGGATAAATATTGCTTCTTCCATCCTCACACTATACCAGGGAATGCAATCCTCTCATTGCAAAAACGCAGAATCTTTCACTGATACCATAATGTTACAGCAGCGAACTTAGAAACAACATCAAATTCCTACTAATAACCTTTTTGCAGTTTCTCAAAGGCAAACCTTTATAACACGAAATTCACCAACAAAGTTTAAATACAATTATCGAGTAGTTATATAATGTGCATAGCTCAAGACCTAATCTTTTTCATTGTGCGCAGCGCAGTAGAGCGTGCGAAGGAAACACATAGTGTAAATAGCCATATTTCCTAACCCTAGAATCCAAATTTTTCTTGATTTCTGTAAAATCGCGAAATCCAATATAAACACGCTGAGAATGCCGAAAAAAACAGATTTTGGGAAAAAAGAAGCACCTATAGAGCTTACCAAAGAAAGAAGGAATATAGAATTGAATCGGATCTGCCAGAAACTTCGATCTGCAACCCGTTAATATAAGTGTGAGTATTATAGGGAGATAGAGAGAGGCGATGGTGAGAGTGTGTGTGTGTGTGTAAATTTTTTAGGTGATTTTGGATTGAAAGTAGAAAGAGATCGAAGAAGGAGAACAGAGAGGGGGGAAGTGGAGAAGGAGGAAGAATAAAAGGGAGAAGCGAATATTGATGGAAACCCAAAAGAGGGAGGAGTAAAGTCTTTAATTAAAACTAACACACGGGTCCACTGTTAATTTTCGGATTCACGTTAACCTCTATCTCTTTTCTAAAAAACTTTTACGTCATTCTCACTCTCAGCCTCTCGCGCGTGATTCTCGCTTGATAGACGGAGGATAAGTAAAAAGTACATAGTAGTAGTAATTTATTTATTTTTGGCAGATATTGTTTCTTTCGACTACTCTATCTTTACGACTGTACGTGTATATGTATTCCAAAGTTTAACCTTTTTAAATCTGGTAATTTGCTACTATAGTTATTTTTTTTTAATAAAGTGGTTTCTTAAAGGGACTAGGGCACCACTTGTCTCTCGGCGCATGTTAGCTTATATGCGCCAACCACGACAAAAGTAGTAGCGGACCTAGGATTTTGTACAAGCGAATTCAGTAAGAAATCGCGGTAGTCAATTGAATAAGTGCACCAATAAACACCATGTGCGCAATGCTCTTTTTTTTCATCGCATTCTTTTTTTTTTAAGTTGGGAAAATTTTTATTTTTTTAAAAAAAAATCTATTTACTTTAAATGTGTAAAATTTATCTATATAAATTAATAAGTTTTATTTCACAAAATTTAGCAATATTAACCAAAAAGTGTTTAACCAACTTAAAAATCATATTATAACTCTAAGAAATATAAAGTACAAAGTTACAAACAAAACACATCAAATAAGAGAATTAAACTAAACTAATTAATCCAAAATGATTAAAGAAAAAGATATTGTACGCCAAACTAAAATTTTGAGTATAATACAAATTAACAATTTCAATATAAACTAAACTAAGTTAAATTAAAAGATTACAAGTAATTTGAATAAAGCACTCTCATTCTTTTAGCAATACTTATGAAAAAGAGAACCAAAACTAAAATGAAGTTTAATAAGAATAGCAAGGAATCATAAAAAGAAGAAAAACAAGGACAAAAAAAAAAGGAACAACAAGGCAACAATAAGCAAAATCATATAACTCCTACAATTATAATAGAAGTGATGAAGAGGAAAATGAATTCAAATGTGTGTTCAAAATACACGTTCAGCAAAAGGGGGAAAAGCTAAAAAGAAATGATGCTTTTTTAGCAGAGGTTCGAACTGGAAACCCTTGAGTTATTACGAACCCACTTGACCATTGCTCTGCAACTTCTGTTTGTGTCAAGTGGTTTCAAGTCTTTAGTATTTATACGTTTCATATTTTTTTTATTTGATGAAATTCACAAGTAAAAATAATTAAATTTTTCGATGAAACGGATTCAATTGAACCCCCTTCGTACAAGGTGGGTCCGCCCTGGGTAAAAGAGCTCATGTACCATCTCAGAAGGTTCTAATGGCGTCGATGAACCAACCTACAACCTTAAAAGGATTAAATCCAGCAGAAAGTAATGAAGGAGGAATAAAAAACTCAGACCTAAAATGTGATGGAAACACCAGAAGTTGAAATTAATGAAACAGTAACCCAAGTTATAGTAATCAATAAAACAATGAATGTTAATGAGAAATCGTGGACTAATATGGTCAAAGGAGCAAGCAAAAGCCAAAGACTATCCTGGGCTGATGAAGTTGAAGAAACGGAGGAATTGGAGAAGAAAAACTCAAATTGGGACAATTTGGACATAGGGAAAATCTCAAATGTAAGTTTCAAGCTGGATTATATCTCGCCAAAGAAGCTAGGTGAGTCTATAGCATGTGAAACTGAAACAGAGGACATTAGTTCGGAGAATAACTACTGAAAAAATGCAGTAGTGTGTTATGTATTGGGGGCACACCCCTTTCTCTGTGCTAAATGGTTATACTTGACGTTTATGGGCGAAACATAGTATTAACAAAATTGCTATGCTAAAAAATGGTATAGTGATAGTTCGATTTGATACGGAAATTAGGATGAATGACGTCATTCGAGGTGGAACCTACTACTTTGATAGCAAACCATTCATAGTGAAGGCTTGGTCATCAGACATGGAGTTTACAAGAGAGGAGTTACTTACACTGCCCATTTGGGTGAAGATGCCAGGGTTAGATTTTAAGTATTGGAGCCCAAAAAGGTTAAGCAAGATAGGTAGTGTGATTGGAATGCCTATAATGGTAGATAAAAACACAGAGAAGAAGACTGGTTTGAACTTTGCCAGGCTGCTCATTGAAGTAAAGGTAGATGTTGCTCTGCCTGAGAAGATATGGTTTAGAAATGAAAAAGGAAACTTAATATAACAGAAACTAGTGCATGACTTGAAGCCTACACTTTGTAAGTTTTGCAGTAAATATGGGCATGCTGAAGATGATTATAGGGAAAAGAAAGCTCCACCAAAGGCAAAGGAGGATGAGAAACATACAACCGAGGAACCAAAAAAGAGGGATATACGACAACAAGAAGGAGCAGGTAGTCAATGCCGCGCCCCCCTTTTTCCTCCGCGGAAATCGGGTTTGTGACATTCGATAGGGACAACTCTTTCCTTTGGGGAAAGGGGTTTGCAATTTTGAAGAGTCGTCACCTAACGATTTTAAGGTGCGTTAGGGCACCTATGGGGTTCAATTATAACTACATTTTTTTTATAACCAGAGATAGGGTAAGGGCTTGTAGCAGTTGCTATTTAAACAAGGCGGATTCGATTTTATCGTTATTACTTAAGGCTTGTCTAGGTGTGTATTGATGATTCCCTATAAGCATGATATCTATTACTGATTCAAAAATGGCAAAGCAGTAACAGTTTTAAACGAGCAAATTAGATCCTATAGGCATGCTTTCTAGACCGCATTAATGAGAGGAGTAACTAAATTTTAACACAGTACGAGTCAAACTGATTTTTTAACTAGACTGATTTCAGATTTTATGGACATAACCTCTATTGTTGCTGATTTTAATCCCTACAGACATGGTATCTAATATTAAAGGTTGATTTGGTCCTATAGGCATGGTATCTAATGAAGCGGAGTAGGCAGGATTTATTTGATCACAGCGAAACTCCTACAGGCATGATTTCTATAAAATATTGATATTAACCTTATGGGCATGACATCTAATTTTTGAATCTGATTTTTAACCTTGCAAATGTCGTCTGATTATAACCATTATATCCTATAGGCGGGATATATAATTGTGGAAGTAAACATGCAGAACTATATTAAACAGATCCTATAGGCAGGATATCTAAGTGTGGAAGTAAGCATGCAAAACTCTATTAAACAGATCCTATAGGCAGGATATCTAAGTGTAGAGGTAAAGATGCAGAACTTATTAAAACAAATCCTATAGGCAGGATATCTAAGTGTGGAAGTAAACATGCAGAACTTATTAAAATAGATCCTATAGGCAGGATATCTACCCTTAAAACATGCATAATTACCCCATCCCTTTTCACTAACCAACCCCAATATCTGTTTATAAATCATTACAGACCAAATACTGAATTACATCAAAAAAATGTAAAAATAAGAAGTTACAACCATAAGAAGCCTGATTCTAACTTCCTCTCTGAGTTATGGAACAAACCACATCAAATGCCACTTGTTTCAGGGCCTTTCTCAGACCTGGATGTGTCAAAGTTCCCTAAGGGTCTCAAGGGACCCCGGGCAGTGCTTACACCCAGGCTTGCATAACTAGATAGAGATGAGTGCAGTAGAAGGGCCAGCTCTCATGTGTCCAAGTTCAGAGGGAGCTCAAGGGTCCCAAGGCAAGGCTCACACAAGAGGGGCAGAACTTAGATTCTAGGAATATAGTGAAAGTGCAGAACATAGAGATTTTAAAACTGGGCTGGGAAATAGTAAGTGATAAGGATGATTTGAAAACAGTAGTAGTAAAATTTAAACTATACAGAGTCAGCATTTGCACAAAGGGGTCAGGGGTTTTGGGAATACATTGCATGAAGCATATGACCCTAGGAGGGGCCAGGTTTAGACATGCACAGCAATAGAGGATGCTGACATGTTCATAAACCAGCCAGAAAATACAAACATAAAGAGGGGATGTGGGGTTTGGGATTCATATACACAGGAGAGCATTAACTTAAAAATGGGAAGGGAACACATTTCAACATGCTAATAATGTAACTTGATTGCAGAAACATAAGCAGAAGTGGACAAGCATGAAAGAAGTTGAAACAATTGCAGAAACATGTTGTTGCTGATGCTTGAAAATTAACTAGGACATACCAGTAGTAAGCAAAGTGCAGAAAGAAAGGTAAGCAAATGTCCACAGCCTAGCCTTGGCTTGCAGCCGGCTACACAAAGCAGTAGCACAAATAGTAACAGAGAAAAAGAGAGAGTTTTTAGTGAAGTGTGTGTTCTGAACTTAGATCGTTCTCCTTTTTTTTGAAAGAAGAGGGGTGCAGGGTATTTATAATTTTTTTGAAAACGAGTGAAGGAGAGGTAATAAGTAAAGTCTTGATAAAAACATGGAAACAATCACAAGTCAGAATCAATTACCCAAGTGATTCCCCTTTAATTAAGGAATCACTGTCTAACGGGTAGCATCAGGTCTAATTAAGGAAAGAAAATCAGTTTGGAAGCAGACTGATTATTGCCATATAAGTGATAGTAAAAGCATGCAGTGAACAATCGAGTCTAAGTACAAAAATATGCTTATTTTGGGAAAGAAATCAGCAAGGTAACACATCACAGTAAAGGGGAAAGAATCAATTAATTTTAAACAGGCGAGTGAAATTAAGGTTCATAAAAGGAAAAGTTTTTGAAATCAGCCACAAGATTAAGAAAATCAAGGAAGAATATGCTTCTGCACTTCAGTATATAAACAGAGAGAATAGAAACATCAGACATGCGAGGCCAAGCACATTGGCAAAAGAAACAGCATACAATAGTAGCAGAAATAAACATATGATTCAGTAGTGAACAAGGTTAGATAGTGAGGGCTCACACGTATAGCCAATGTGAAGAAGAGAGTCAAAACAGGTACAGATCTAAAATAGATCTGAAAGAAAATCAAAGGATCTTAAAGATTAGGGTTTCGAAAACCCCAGAAAAGGTGAGAA